AGAATTACATAATAACGAATGGGACAGAGAAAATTGACAGTTTTTAATGGGCTATTTTCTTAAGGTAAACTGAATAAGAAAGTTTTGTTCTGATACTAAGAGTTAGTGGACTTTGTGTAAATCTTATTGATATGTTCCTTGAAAAATGAAGAGCCGTTATTCTCTTCTACTATTAAAAGTGATGAACGCTAGAAACATATCATTTGATCAACATTTTATTAGAATAAAATATCATTTTTCTTTGTTAAATAATTTAAGATATAATGTCTAAACGCAGTATTTAAAATAATGAAAAATGATGTATTTTTAAGAGATAGTACTAACTTTGTCGATAAAAGTTCGTCATTCAAAAAAATCACTTGCAAAAAAATGTCTATATTTTCAATTTGAGGCACCTTTTTGTGTCAAGAAATAGATTTCAACCTCATGAATAATTTAGAAAAGCGGTGTGGGTGGGTGTGGGTGTTCTTATTCTCATAATACACACCACATCCACACCCACACCCACCCACATCCCCACCCCCACCCACACCCACCCCTCCCCACACCCTCTTCCGAATGAGTAATGATCGATAATTTCTTTAATTTCCATTTTAATGTTCTAATAAATCGTCTAAATGTCACAAAATCAGTAGCGTTCAAATGTAAAGAAAGACATATTAATTCTTTTGGTTGAATCGATAGAATCTATGATTCATTTTCGATACTGGTAAAATCATAGCTAAATTTCAAAGAACGAAGTTGCGGCGTGCAACAAAGAATTCCAGAAAGTTCTTGGAATGTAAAATAATGATCAATCAGAAGATATTCTAGTGGACTTTGTTCATTGGCAGGAGTTGGTCATGCGACAGATAGATTTGTTTTATTGGAAACAAATTAATAATATTTTAATTTTGAAAGACTAAATAATAATTGATAAATATCGGTTCTAAGAATCGATTCATCAAACATGTCAATAGTTAAGTAATATAGATGTGATAGAAATGATAGTTTCGAAAGAATGAATATGAAGAGATTGTAGTCTATATTCCAAAAATTATGTGATTCGAGATGATGAAGTGATGAATTGATTGTAAATGATTAGAAAATCTCATTGGTGTACACTGAAAAAAAAAGGTGCCACACGAAACCTCTGAGGTTTCGTGGAGTTTTACTATACTATATACGTGTCCGTAGAATCATGCGAAACCTGTATGAGGTTTAGCAGTATCCAAGGTTTTGTAAAAGACTCTNATCGTTCACTACTAACCAATAAGTTTGCATTTTTTGGTTTCGACTCAGCATGTTTCAGGTGTTCACTAATCATAGTATTAGTAGTCGTCCAAAAACCTGTTGATGGATCGTATAACTCAGCACTGTTTAAAATAATGGGACTGCTCCTTCCACCAGTAACTAATACTTTTCCATTTGTTAATAAGGTTGCTGTGTGATCCCTTCGTCCGTGATTCATACTACCAGTAGTTGTCCAAATGTCACTCGATGGATCATACAACTCAGCACTGCTTTCAGATTCGTGGCTATCAAATATCTGTCCACCAGTAACTAGTACTTTTCCATTTTTTAATAAGGTTGTTGTGTGACTCTTTCGTCGATAATTCATTCTACTAGTGGTTGTCCACAATCCTGTCAATGGATCGTACAACTCAGCACTATTCAAGATAGTATCGCCGTTCGCTCCACCAATAACTAATACTCTCCCATTTGTTAATAAGGATGCTGTGTGACGTTCTCGACTCTGGTTCATACTTCTAGCAATGGCCCAAGTTCCTTGTAATGGATTATATAACTCAGCACTGTCTAAAGAAGTGCGATTGCTCGATCCACCAGCAACTAATACTTCTCCGCTTTTTAATAAGGATGCTGTGTGACCCTGTCGCGCATGGTACATACTAACAATAGTGGTCCAAATATCTTTCGATGGATCGTACAATTGAGCAGTGCTTTCACTTTTAACACTATAAAATTTCGATCCACCAGTAACTAGCACTTGTCCATTTGTTAATAAGCATGCTGTATACAGTTCTACTTTATGAGTCATACTACTAGTACTGGTCCAAGCTCCAGTGGATGGATTGTATAACTCACAATCATTTTCCAGAATAGCAGGAATCATTCCACCAGTAGCTAACACTTTTCCATTTGTTAATAAGAGTGTTATGTGCGCCTGTCGACCATGTTTCATATTACCAGTTGGTGTCCAAATTCTTGTCGAGGGATCGTACAATTCGGTACTTCTATGAATTTCAATGTCATCAAAATTCCATCCGCCAGTAACTAGCACTGATCCATTTGCTAATAAGGTTGCTGCAAAACTCTCTCGTGAATGACTCATATTGCCAATATTGATCCATTCTAAATAAAAATATTGGCATGTATTTATTCCGTGTAGAATACATATTGTTGAAATCCATATGATGTTCTAATTATGTGCTGAATTTTTTGAAAATTTTAAAACTAAAATCATTTCTTACTAATAGGAAAACAAAGAGTTTTAGGTTTATCCAAAGAAATCTACTCATTATACGATTACACCATGGATATCATCGTTGTGATAAAGAATTCTAAGCGTGAGTAACATATATACTAGAATCGTACTTTCTACCTATCGCTCACATAATATTCACAGAAATAATGTGTTTAAGATCTTGTTTCTACATGAATTTCAACTCAACGAATTTTTCCGCCGAATTAATTTTTGTATTGAAAAGAGAATAGAATTCGACGTGAGCATAAGTTTCGATTATATTATCGGACCAGACTCATGCTCTATCGGAATTTTCAGTTCAAGTTCTTCGTATTGATCTCCATACAAAAGTCTGTTTCTGTAAAATACTCGTACCACGGGTAACATTTAGCACAATGAAATACTATTGGGAAAAAAATCTTGGGTTTCAANTAATAAAATTATCGAACTTAAATCAAGCGAAATTTTAAAAAATTTGATTTATTTCAAATTGATTTTCTTTATGACCGCAAATAAGAGGTAGCCCTGTAATCTATTACGACTACCAAGAATACTTCTCTGAAAAGATTGCTAACGTAATAAAGAGTAATACTTAATAACATACTCCAATATTAGCAATGATAACAATATGAATAATTGCTTTTCCTTGACCACAGTGTCTACAAGTTTTTTTCTACATCTATTTTAAATTTAGAATAATAGACTCATTTAGAATTGAGTACGAAAACTGGCGAACTTTGACGTGCTACTGCTAAGACTACTACTACTGATATTTTCAATGCTCGAGTTCAGATAATATATACACGTGAAAATACCAATTTCGAGTAATCACTTCCTATTGACATCAGGATGAGTCACAGAAAAAAAGAGACTTTTGTCGAGGAAGAAGTTGAAAAAAGTCCTCATTTTGTTAGTTTCGAATCAAACGGTTTTTTCAAACTTCGTCTAGCTATTCAACAAGTATTTAATGGTATCAAGAAAAATCTAGGTAAGAGTGATGCAGTTTTTCCAAGACCAAATTAGCCACCACTAATAGCAACAATAATCAAATAGTGCGACATACGTATTTGATACGACCGTTTGTATTACAATAAACGCATTGAACGTCTATACATACTTCACACTCTTCAAGAACGTTAAATTCTAATATTTAAATGATCCATGTCTCCTCATCGATTTTGATTCAAGCCACACTCGTAAGATATATGCATAAAGGAAAAGTTATCATTCTTTGTGACGACTAGTTTGGCGCATAAATTGTCATTGCGGAAACTCAACTGCCGAAAATCTGCTGATTTCTCTAAAGACACTATATAAAGCTGTATAATGACTCTATGAAATCTTACCAACTATCATTATAAAAGTATCTTTAGCGTTCGAGAAAATGAGACTATGCTTAATGGTATCATGAAAATTACGCAAGGCCTTGTTAGCATAGTTTTATCGTATAAACAAGAAAAGAATTCATTGATAGCTTGTATATAAACTTCTTGGTGGATGTAGAACAAGTAGTTAATGGCAGGAATTAAATCTAAAATGTCGCATGAACAAGTAATTCGTGTGTAGAAGAAACAATTGGTGTCATGAGACGACTGAATGAATCGAACAGAATCACTGTAAGATTATCCATGACTACAAATGGAACTCTCATTGTTATTCTATCTCAAATCCATATGCTTCAAGAGATTTAAATGTTATTTCATCATTACCTTAAATGAAATAGCTCCGTCAGTAATATGCATATGCAAATTTAAAAACAAACAATATCATACTGCTTTCATAGAAAAATTATTGATATAACTATTGATCCTAGTTAATTTTGCAATACACGGTATGGATGTGAGAGTATTATCTTTGCCTAAAGTCCATTTTGCACGTCAGTTATCTGATTTCACGAATCTCTAATCAGCAAATCGTACAAAATTATTTAATATGATATCTTCTTGTTATGCATTCTTTCTGATCTACTAATGCAAGATAAAGTTGTGAAATTTCAATTTAAATAATTTAATGAAGTTTTGGAATCATATAATTGTGATCGATAACGCATTAAATATGACAAAGTAAATATCAAAATAGTTACTTTTGAACGATCAATTCGATTAACATTATTATGATTAATCGAAGAAACAAAACTGATTTAAATTAAATAGGAAACCATAAAAATTATTTAAATCCTCAAAAACAACTAGAATTCTAAAAAGATAATCATACATTCTATGTGGCTTTCACTAATTTTTTGCACATTCGATGCTTTTGATTGATATATGATAAATTACCAGTTCTAGATGACTTTCATATAATCATTAACTAGATTCAGAGAACTGTTAGATGCATAATAACTATATCTTACTTGATTTTAAAGTAACATTTAGATAGATTAAGCAGCATATGTCTACAGCTTACCAGGCTGCTTGTCTGTAGTTGTAACCGTTGTTAAAGGTGTATTTGTTGTTGATGATGATGATGTTGTTGATGTGATAGGCATATCCTTCTTTGGTGCAAGTATGACAAATTTTAATATCATAGAAAATGTAACTGCTAATATTGTTATCACAATAAATGAGATACAAATAATTTTAAACCAGCGATGACGCCATAATTTGCGAAGTCGATTATTTTCACTGACATGTTCGTTATGCATTATTATTTTTTCTTATTTTATGTTCTAAAAGAAACTTAAACTGATAAAATAATCACCTATTGTTCAACAAGACTTTCTATTTGTTGATCACTCTCATATGAGTAGCAAAAAAAAAAGTTATTTTTAGATATGTGCTAATTTGGATGTTCTGCGGTCGTGAGCTTGGATTTTTCGGTTTGCGATTAGTACTTCCTATTGTATTTAGATAATTTTTAATACCACA